GGACTGTCACTATCATAAATCCGGAGCAAGCACTTAAAAATCTGCCTGCTCATCCATCAATTTCAGCACACAAGTGTCTGGACAGGCATTCTGAAGTTGACCTGCTGCAGTAACCTGTGTATGTGTGCAGCTTGTTACATGCACCTGGGGACCCATTTCATTAATGGTTAACAAAGTGACCCCTATGTGACAGCAACAAATTCAAGATGGGAACATGGATGTATTTAAATTGTTTGCATTTCATTCATAACGTATCTGAATGATTCTGAAAACTGAGCTCTCTCTCCCACTGTAGTTTTAACTACAATCTTTGAAATCCTTAAGGATTAGGGTATGGTAATTTCAGTTACTTCCTTTCTCTGGAGCCCCATATGGTAACCATAGCTAAAAATTTTGAAGATTTTATTTGCAGTCTGGGAAAAAGCATTTTAATGGTCTTCTCCAAAACAACCCTTCAATTTTTACCTGCCTTTTTCACAGCCATCTTTGTTAAAAAATATGAAACATGACCAGTCATTAACATGACTAGCACAGTAACAATAGAGTGATCAGGTGGCCTGAATACAGAAGGAACAACACTTCCTCAAAAAAAAAAAAGTAAATCAAATTTCACCAGACCCAAACAACCTGAAGATCTCCTCCTAAAGTACTGACAATACTGGCTAGAATCACTGAGGTTCACAAAGGCCCAGCAAACTATCAGAAGACCAAAAAATATAAACATGGCATTCCCATCTTCAAAAATACAGTAAAAGAGGAGCAGTCTGTGAAGTAGTCTGCTCAGCATCAATACTCAGTGAACAAAACCCATCTTTTGCAATTCCCTAGAAGATAACTAGAGGAAAACAACAGCAAATGTGGATTAAATATTTTTTAAAATGCTTTTAAGAGCAAAGCATGCCAGATTAGTCTAACTGGCCTTGAGACTCATTAGACTGCCACAGCAGGGGAAGATGCAGAAAAGGATTCTTGATTTTAGCACCACCTTTGGCCACTGTAAAGCAAACCAGAGAATCTACATTCATTAAAAAATACTGTGGTATTTTTTAATAGATATTGACTCAGGTAAAGAGACAGATACATTCCTAAATGAGCTGCTAAGATTACCACTATATTGGCTTCCTTGGATTTGAAGATACTGTACTTGCAGTGGTCCTGACTAAACACTCACCAGAGATATTTTCTGTGCAACACACACCAAAATGTAGAAACAACATCCTTGGAACAGTGGGACTCAAACCAATTTTCTCTTTGTATAACCTGACAGCATGCACTAGAGTCAATGTCCTGAGTTTCATTACAGCAACTCCAACTTAGAGTGCCAGAGGAAAAAAGACTGAATTCTAGCACCAAAGAGGAAAGGATTTTGTGTTAAAAACCATCAACCCTTATGGCTGGAAGATGCAGTTCTGTACCACATAAAACTAACAGAGAATCTACTTTCTGATATCACTCCTGTGAAAGTTGACAAGAGATGAAGGCTGTAGGACACCAAAATGTACAGCTCAGAACAATAATACAGCCACTGTAACAGATCATGTGTGGAGGCCAGGCAAGGCTTTCCTGCCAAGGAGGAAGACTAGGGTAGGAGAAAAGGCAGCAAAATGAGACGTTCTTGTTTTCTTTAAAAGAAATTCTCAGGAAGAAAAGCATTACAAGTATTAGAGTATCCTTATAGTAATTGTAATAGTGATAGCTACTTTGACATTAGAAAAGAAAAATGATGCCAAAGACTCCTGATTTCTTTAAGGCATGTAACACCTAAATGTTTTCTTCCAGCTGAGCGTCTTGAAAGCCATCTAGTGATGCATGAGACCATTAAAAAAAGACTTTTCCACTCTGCTACTTCTGCTTTGCAGCCAGGACTAAACCTAATCCATGTTTTATCAGGACAGACACCAACAACTGACTGACTCACCTTAGATGAAATTTTCCTACTGACAGGTCATGCCATAGTCGGATTTCTCATGATGTTATCAGTAATTCCCTGGAATACCTGTAGTTGCCATTTTTAAGAGTGTCTCATCAAAGAAACAGACTTGATGAAATGACTTTCCATTACCCTGGCTTAGAGACCACTGAAGAACAGCAAATCAGGGAATGTGAAAATAAGCTCTTAAAAGTCAAGATATCCCAAATGTAATGAATCTCTTCAACAAAACATTACTTTCTTCTTAATCACATTTATTATGCCTACAAATTTAAGTTGCGTGCTAGAAATATACACAACAAAATGTACAGAGCAACTTTTCCACAGCATGGTAAATTCAGCATAGTGATGAGCTGTCGCTACAGTGAAGCAAAGCTGAAATCACATAAATTATGTCTTCTGGTGACTATGACTGAATTGTCAAACACTTAAACATCAAAACTATAAGAGTGCCAGTAGACACACTGCTCAAGCTTGAAGGCAAACACTTTTCCTTGAAATTTGAATACTCCTCATCAGCAGGCTTGAAATTTGAATATTCCTCATCAGCAGGCAGCAAATACATGATCTGTTCCAAACTTTCTACTGTAGTACCTGAACCACTCCCGAGTCCATTCTGCAACAGGAACAGCACAATTAAGGAAGCCATTTTTCCTCCTCAATTCTTTTGAAGATGCAGTGTGAGTACCACTTCAATTCCAGTGCAATTCTTTCCAGATAGATATAAGAGGGCACTTAAAGTGAGAGAGAAAAGTGACAAACTGGACTCACAAATTTAAAATCAGAGGAACAACTTAAATTACTGCTGTTATTTGAGGGTGGGTGATCTGAAGCTACACAAAATTGGTCAGAGCACGGTGCTAATAACACCAGGCTTCAATCCCCACATAGGGTTTTACTTAAGAGCTGAACTAGATGATCCTTGTGGGGCCCTTCCTACTCAGAATATTCTGTGAATCTGTGAACCAAGACTAACTTTGTGCCTTTTTTTTTTTTTTAATAAAACATTTCAAGAATAACAGGAAGGAAGCACATTCTCAGACCTATCACACCTTTAAGACATCATGGCAGCAGCAACCAGGTGATAAAGCACCTGGTAAGTAATTTTGACCTGATAGGTGACTCAGAGGTGGCAAAGAAATGCACATCAGAGTAAATATTAAAATACAACATGATCCATGTTCAGTCAGAGCAGATTTCTTTATTATGCAAGAAAAATGAGATTTCTTTGCTGAAGGAATGAAAGCAAGACAGGGCATCTGTTATGACACTGAACAGAGCCAAAAGAGTCACCACGTGCATCAGGAAAGATAAGCATATTCAAATCCTTTCAATATTTTTCAAGGAACTTTTGAGTTCTAAAAATAATGAGTGGTTTGAGGTGTCTTTGCCAGACCTGCTTTGCAGCACATTACAGGGGCAGTGTAAATGTTCTAATTTTAACTGTTAGAAATCTATGAAGATTTAGGCACCTGTAAATGAAATTAAATCAAAGCACCTCAAGACATGGAAACACCCAACAAGCTTATTGCGGACGCCATATTAGATTCTTCAGCTCTCCTACATTGCTACAATTCAATGCAGTCTTATACACGAATGGATTCTGAAACAAAAAATATAAGCAGAAACCTTACTTCTGCCTCACACTAACAACTAGCAGGGAGAACACAGCTGCTAAGTGAAATACCAGTTATCAAAGCTTCATATGGCATAACAGGTTCTTCCTCTTTTGCTTTCACTCTACCTTCTCAATAGAAAGGGCAGAATCAAGGTTATTAGCTGCTCTAGAACATAATGAAATATGCCTTGACTTCTTAATTTCAAGAATCCTGGTTCTGAAATAGTCCTGCAATGTGTAGTTTACCCAGTTCACCACCATACACACCAACTTTTTGTGCATTAGTGTGTTTTACAGCTTGATGTGCTCAAAACATCAACTCCATGGCTGAGAGTAACAGAACTCACTGCAAAATCACAGACAATACAGATCACACCATGAAAAAGAAAGGAATCTTTGATCTTCTGTTTAGCCTGTTTCTTCTCACAAGTAACACGAGACATATCTACCCTGGCAACCATTCTGAATAAAGTGTTCCATTATTAAAACATACCACAACACCCAGGATTTGGATGACATGCCAAAAGCAAGATTTTCATGAAAAAGCCAACTGTCCAACTAGGGGAAACATTCTCTAAAGTGATGCAATGTTAGTATTACTGTCATCAAATTCTCCCACTCATTTTAAAAACAAGGCGGCAAACTACAGAAAAAGTTGGATTTCTAAGGCAAGCCATTCACAGATGCAAAACTATGAAGGAGGCTGCCTACAAAGACGACACTCAATATGTACCTACCTGACTTGGCTGATTGCTTGCGATTATCTTACAAACTACAATCAAAGCAATCAGTTCCCCCTTTATTTCAATTTTCTAATATAATGGGGGTGGGCGGGGGTAATGAGAGGCGGGGAAAGGCTTCTGATGGGTTACAATGGAAACCCCAAATGTATTAAAGAAATTCAAACACTACACCCCGCTGAGGTCGTGTAAGCACCAAGGGGAGGGGTTGACATACATCCATTCAAACACTTATCAGGTTTGTTTTTTTCCTTCCTGCTGCAGAAGACAGGAGCTCGTAGCCAACAGGTGCATTTAAAATCGAAAGGCAAGAAGCAAAGACCAACGCTGAAACCTCGCACAATCTCAGCGCTTGAACCACCCCCACGACGCCGGCACTTGCCGGCTCAGGCCTCCCTCTCTCACGCTCCCCGAGCGCCCCGCGGAGTCAAAGGCCCTGCGGCTGAGCGGAGCCAGCGAGAACCAGCCGGGAAGCGGGAAGGACGAGCCGGGAAGCGGGAAGAACGGGCGGAGAAGAGGGAATGACGGCGGCAGCGCCGCTCCCTAAGGGGCGGCAGGAGCCGGCCCGGCCCCGCCCCGCGCCCCCCCGCTCTGCGCATGCGCGGAGCCGGCCCGCGGCACGGGGCGGGATGGCGGCCGCGGCGGGAGCGCGGGGCTCGACCCAGGCCGGGCACACCGGGAAGCGACGGGGGAGATGTCCCAGGCCGGTTACCTGGCCGAGGGTCCCGCGGTGTAGGGCCCGGATCAGGCCACTCGGTGTCGCCATGGCAAAGGCGGGAAGGAAGAGGCGGGGGGGAGGGACACGGGGCAGGAGCGCGGCAGGGTCCGCGCATGTCCCGCAGGCGCGCTGCGGGAGCGGCCGCTGGTGGGGCGCGGTTACCGGGAAGGGGCGGCGCTGGCGTCGGCATTGACTCTGGCACTTGTGGGAGTGAAGGTCGTCGCTTCTCGGTTTCCATGGCTCCTGCATCGCCTGCAGGGTGCCCTTGGAACGGCGCCTTTCGGCAGCGCGTCCCATCCGAGGCCTCCTCCATCCCTGCATCCTTCCGGCCGCCTGGCCTTGCCCACGGCAGCTCTTCCACGGGGAGATTCGCAGCGTGGCCTCTGCCCGTCCTGTCATACTAACTAAAGTCAGCCTCCGCAGGACCCCCCCAAAAGCTGCTATCTGCCCTCGGTCTGCTCCGGTCTGCCCAAAAGCCCAGGCAGAAGCAGATCTCATTGTCCAGCACCTCAGACACAGCATGTCCCCAAATCCAGTCTTTGTGCCATGGCTCTTCCATTGCGCCAGGTAACAGAACCAAAGCAAGAAGTACTGAAGTTACTAATGAGGTTTGACAAGTTCCTGAAGAAGTTGTACATCAACCCCTCGTGTTAGCTCCTCTGCCTGGTTTCTCCCGATTTCATTTCTCCCCAGTTCAATGCCCAGGCTGGGAAGCCACAAAATGCTTGTTACCAGTGTTCCAAGTGACGTGAACCCAAGCTCTTCTGCAGGTCTGCAAACATGTGGAACAGTGACTGTGGGAATTTGCTATGGCGGGCTCTGGGAAAACTAACCAGCCATCAGGAAAGAAGGCACCCTTGTAGGTCTGTTACCAGTGGCACTGTGCATTGGACCAGTCATTAGTTTCAGTAGCCCACTCCAACCCTGTCACTGGAGATATTATTATGGAAAGTTCCCAACTATAAAATCTGGGTTTAGTTGTTAAACCCTCTGTAAATTTACATAACTGTTTATTTATTTTCATTTTGACAATTTTTATATTTTAAAACCATATATGAAGAGTGCTTAGTACATAAGAGCGTAATCTTCATTTACGTTCCCAGGCACTGCTCTGATACAAATTGTAAAAAATTGACTTTGATTTTTTAAGAACTTTAACTTGAACTCAAAAATCATATATATAATTTTTTTTCATCATTTGCATCATCACTATAAATATTTTTCATAATTTGAGCTGAAAGCTTCTATATGTGATGTTCATCTTTGATGTTTTTATTCAGTGTTTCAGCAAAAATGAGTCAGCCTTTTTTGAGAACGTAACTAGACAAAAATGACATGAAGCTCAATGTGGGAAACGTCAGGGAAGAAGCTGAAAAATCGAATGTTTGGAGATTTTCTGGTTCTAAAACCAAGAAATGATTGGACAAAAGCCTCTGGTTGCTCCTCTGATGTGAGACTGAAGATATGATCTATGCAGAGCATTAGGCAATACTCCTGATGGTGAGAGGGATGGACAGCTGCCCTACCTCCTGTCTCCCCACTAGAATTATTCTCTTTTGGAAACTAAATGGAGCAGGTAGAGTTGTCTTAAACTGATGCCGTGAAAAGCACGATGCTGGATACAAATGGAATATAAACTTACCTTCAAAAAGTTGCGAAGAAAATTGATGTAATGTGATAAGAAAATGTTAAGACAATTTTTCAGTTGCAGATAATCAAACCAAAAATTTTTTCCAGTAAGTTTACCAGGGAGGAAGCTTTCAGCATCTAATAAATATCAATATTATAATGTGGTTATAAATCAGTAAGTTAAACATTGGTTTGAGTCAAAATTATGAAGAAAAAAACTATGTAGAATTCAGCAATAAAAAACTGAAGAATGAAGATGAAGTTAATACTACTGAAAAAGCATTAGTGCTTGTTTTCAAGGCTATTATAATTTGAGTTATTAAATGGAACAGTAAAAGGTGATACTTTTGAGACTTTAGTAATACCTTTGACTTAGTATCACAGAGAATTCTGATAAACATACATGAAATGGCTAAGGGCTGATCAGATGACAGGTCTTCAAAAGTACCTGTTATAGTAGAGTTGTATGGCAAGCTGTGCTTTTTCCTGCTCAATACTGCTGCTGGTAATCTGGAAATAGGTTCTGTATAATTTATGTTGAAGTGTGCTGTTGACACAAATATTGACAGATTCGTACAAAACAATAAAAATGTCATGAGCATACAGATAATAGGAATCTATTAAAGTAAAGCGTGTTTTAAAATCAAATTGAAACTGAAGTAAAAAGTTGAATTAAAGTTGGATTTTTTTCCCTTTAACCAGAACTGAGCCAGTGTTATTACTTTTAAGTCTTTATTTAAGCCGAACAAAAAACCCCAGTCAATACAGTATTTACAACAGCTCTTTAACACAAGAAGGAGAATGGTGTGAACATGTAAGGCAGGTGAGATGAGGAAGAGATTGGCTTGAGAATCCCAGAGGAGATGACAGCTTGCATCCTGAGAGATAGGCAAGTTAGGAGAGGAGAAGGATTCACTGCTAGTGTTTATTGTCCTCTGAAATCTCCCACTGCTGCCAAAACGCCTCTGACCTCTCTCATGTATTTTTCCTAGACACTTTCCCCCTACCCTTATTATCCCAATGCACATTATGAATACATTAATGACTATTGAGACGTGAGGAATTTGCTACAGAGCCCAAATTAAGAAAATTTGATAAACCAGAACTCAAAATATCACCAGTGCAATTTGCTGGTTTTGATACCACCAAACTGACTGTGGACTTAAAAGCAAGAGTTTTATACAAAGTCTTTCAGATCATCATGTGTCCCATGGGACAGGGTGATTTTGCAAGAGATCTAGAGATTGTGTTGGACAAGTAAATCTATTTCTAATGCTGTCCTGTAGTTCATATAGTCAAGTTTTTAGTACTGGGATACCAGTCAGAAATTGCTAAGTCCACTTTGGGTTTCCATGCTTAAAAAGAGATATTTGCAAAATCAGGGAAATAACCACTTATGATAGCTGTAAAATTATTTAAGAAAACACTAGGCACATGCACAGTTAAGTAATTAGTGAAGATGCAGGAAGTCCTAGGAGCAGAACAGACAGTCTGTGATTTTTTTTTTTTTCCAGGTAGGAAGACCTCTGTAGCTGGGCTACAGCCCACGAAACTTTTATTTTCATGAAGCCTTCAAGAGACAGTGCTTTACATAGGAGCGTGTAACATTCTGTGGTGTGAACAGGCTTCTGGGGATTAGTTAGGGATGCGTAGAGAGATTTTATGCACAGCCTTCTTGTCTTACCTACCATAGAAGTTTGGGTTTTAGCAGCAGAGTGTAAAATGGAAGAATTGTTCAAGAAGCTGAATGAATTTTGAAAACTTGGCTTTGTTTCTTTCCGCTGTGAAAAATCAAGTGCGCTAAAATATTTTTTGTTCCTCACCTGAAAAAATATTAGAAATTCTGTGCACTCCTAGCTAAAAGCTATTTTTTTTTGTTACTGTGCTTCCAATGTACCATATACTAAAAACATGAAACAGTATAAAATATTAGAACATGTCTGTTAATTTAACATGTAAGATTTATGTTTTATGGTTACTCTATTGGCGCTTTATCTCCCGTCTTTAAGATAGAGTAAACCTCTTCAAGTCAGCACTGCCAAAATAATTTCACTAATACTCTTGAATCATTCACATCCCCTGATAAAAATAACAAAAAAAAAAAAAAGTAGAAGGAAATTAGTAACTTTTTATTAAGTGAAGGGATTGTGACAGAAAATCGTATGGTAAGGAAGATTTGGACACCATTTTGGATAATAAAAGTATTTTAAAAAATCAGCAATACTCAATGAAGCAAGACATTTGCAGAAATAGTATACTATGATATAGCTAGAGACAGTATCATCATACACAGAATAAGAGAGGGAAATTAATTAAATTGTATCACAGGGTTGATGCTGTCATTTCTCAATTTCTGAGTGATCGTGTATTTTAATGTAGCTTGTGGGAGGGGTAATTATAACTATAATTGTTATTGTTTGCTACAGCATTGCTCATTGTTTAAAATACGATGCTTTTGTGGTGTGCATTACTCAAGCACGAACCAGATGACAGCCCCTGCCCCAAATAGCTCTCAGTTGAAAAAAGAGTGAACACAGATCAAAGAGTGCATGACACACAGAGTGGTAAATTAATTTTCAGAAATCAATATACAAATATTGTTGTTTTCCAAGTGAAGGTTGTTGTTAGCAGGGTACTACTTGAATGAAAGAGCAAGGAAAGGGTATTTAGGCAAGCTGGAGAAGGGAGACCAGGGAGGCTGTGATGGGAAGAAGAGTGAGAGTAGAAGTTTGAACAGGCAGCCAAACAGCACAGGAAAGAGCCCAGTCAAACCCTTCACACTGTCATACATAAAGAACTTCACTTGAGATGTGTAGTTTGGTGTAGTTTAAAAAGCACATCTTCAAAATTCTTGAGAGCCTAGAGGTTAGCAGCAAGATTGGCTGAAGAGGGTGAATCAATTACTCTTACCTGTTTCATTTTGTATTTTACACATGCTATGGAAGAATCTTTTGGCCCTTTTTATGCATCTGTCTGTTCAGTGAAGCTTTAGCAGGGCAGTCACTTGGAAGTGCTGAAGATATAGCAGAGAGCAGGAAGAAGAGTTGTACTGTCTCTTGTATGCTGAAACTGTTGGTAGTATCAAAGCATTGCTGAGAGCTGTATCCTCTGAAGTTAATGGAAAAACACTGTGTTGGTAGCCACTGAGAAACAAAAACACCTAGAACTCTCTGAAATCTGTAAACCTTTTCTCCCTATAATATGTTGGGAAAAAGAAATCTTTCCTACGTGTTCTTTTGTATTATCATCAGTTGTGGTGACTGTGTTCTTTACATTCATTTTGAATCTCTGTTTCCTGTCGTGAGCAGATTAAAAACAGAAGAGAGTGGAGTGAAAGTTTTCTATTGCAAACATCTGTTTCTGAAAAAGGATTATATTTCCATGTCCTGGAACATCAAGGGGAAAACCTTGCCCTCCCCAGACACACACCTTTGGTTTGCAGCAATAAGGAGTTTATAGACAAGGTTGCTTTACTACAGTAAATAGAAAACCCATTTCTGTATTTCCGGTGAGTAATACAGCCTGGATGTCTGAGGAGACCTTCAATTATTCCCAGCAGAGAGCTATCTTATTGTATATCTTTAAAATGGCTAACAAATTTTTGGGCATAACATAAGCAATACTTTTAATAACTCCTGTCTTTTGTATCTGAAACTGCCTTTTATATGCAAATAGTGTTGTCCAGATAAGTGTTAGGGAGTATCATTAGAAATGGTGAATGGACATACTTGCCCCATGTAAGTCAAATGAAATCCACAGAAAAAAACCCCAAAACTACAGTGTCAACAGACTTCAAAAAGAAAAAAGAAATTGATGCTGATGTATTGTCCATCTCTATCTCCTTTTAAATAACACAAGGCTGGAAAAGGAGAGAAAAGATGTAAGAAACACTTGGGGCCAAATATACAGTACTTTCTCATACCTTTTGGTATTCTTTCAGGAATTTAGCCATGGAAAGGAGGAAATTTATTTGTTTAGAAGCTAACCTGAGACCTTCCTATCACCTACATAAAAGCCCTCCTTTTAAAACTTCAATATACTAATATCCATCAGTGCAAATATCACCCAAAATATATTGCACTAGGTTAATGTACTCGCTCACCCCATTGAACCCAGAGATCTGTTGTTTGCAAAACTGGAACAAATCTGGGAAACAATTTGATAGAATAATCATCTGGGCTGGTTCTTAATTTGTAATTGTCTCGGGCGGTGAGGAGGCTTGTGCTGTTATACAGCAGGGATTTTTCCTTTCCAAAGTGGAAGCACATCTTTAAGTAACAGTTTTACT